GAGATTTTTTGAAGCTATCCATTCTTTGACCGGATTGAGGAACAGGAGCAACCGCCATCAAGACGGCAACTGCTTCGGATGGAATATTCCAAGCTATAAAACGCGGGGAAAATCTAAAGTGTGAAACAACACATGCGTAGGAGTACCTCATAAATCTGGTTTGCGAAGAACGCCACGACCTTATTGGACCACCCCGAAATATCGTGGGGAGGAACAAAATCCATGGAAGAAAACCAGCTCAACCATCCACAGTTCAAAGAACCTTGTTACGACGTAACGAGTTGTCGCTTTTTAAATCCTACCGCAAAACATTTAAATACTTACTTGGATATGAACGACCCCACCTCACTAGTTGTGCGGGCCCCAGCATAATCTCCATTTTTCGGAGTTTTGTTATTTTAGCTGTGTTTCCCTGGAACCCCGAGGTCAACCTAACCAAAGCCCGTCCTAGATCGTCATCACCACAGGCAGTCGCAGCCATTGTGGATCAGCGGGAGATTTGCCACCATGCAACTAATTTGGCACCACGACAATAGTTGATCTTGGTATTGGTGTTGAATTACTCTTAGCTAGGCTTCCTGATGGAAAAGCCGTACTCCTTATCAGCATGGGAGACCGTGCACGGCGGATGAATCCCCCAGCTGTACATTGCAGCCCGACACCCAGGAACACGTCCGGCCCATGGTGAGCCGGTAAACTGTTGGAAGGAAACATTTAAATAACTAACAACAACCAAAAGGAGAAGTTATATGCATTTATGGTGAAGGCCATCCCGCGTGAACAAAGCGCGGACAGTCCCACTCGTAACAGCATAGCACTGAAGAAGGCGAAATCGCCGAAACGTCCGCTATAGAACAATAAAAACAACAACAGTGACAATGACACTTATACCAGCCTTGTATCAGCTCGAAAATGGCAGCTAATAAGAACATATAAATAAATACATCTACTATTTATAACGAGGTTTGTAGAAAGTTGGTCTTTTGAGTTATAGGCACGTAGAAGGTCACGAAAGACCATTTACTACTGCCCGCTTCTTCTGGAGCTAATGAGACAGTTTCCAAACAACGATGAAACACAGAAGATTAAGATGCTCAAATGTTGAAACAAAACGATGCTCGAAGTAAATGACCACTCAAGACAGAACGACGAATGAGGGATAGCAGCCAGAGTGCAGGGTGCGGGCCGAAACCCCACCCTGGAGCTTTGCTAGCCCCGTGGCGATTCATGAGAGAAAGCTAGACATCGATGATATTCAAGAAAATTCAGATTTTTGAAAAAAGAGACCTAGATAACAATAACTTGGCGTCAAGAGTTTGTTCGCATTGATGAGAAACAAAATGTCTCATATAACAAGGTAAAGTCAGATAGCAGGAAGCAAATTAAGGATATATTACGCACGAAATAATAAAGAAAGCAAACGAGATTGTGCTCTCGAGCGGACCCCATCTCTGATGGTACCTTCCTTCTGTCCCCGGACAAAGGGGAAAGCTGACGAGTTTAAGGAACTAATGCGTGGGAAATTCCACGTCGACGTAATTCGCAATATCATTCAGCAGCAATTCAGAGATTTTGCGAAAGGAGTCCAAACCAACAACCTCTGGATGATTTGAGTTGTTGACTTCAACGGTAAAATGTAGCGCTGTGACACATGTGACAACAACACAGTACTTTTCATCTATCACACGAAAGAAAACACAAACATCAAGAATCAATAGCGAGTGGGTCTGTATGTAGAGAAGTAGTGCAGAGGAACCGAATTCGCCCGGTATCGATTGAGTGCCGATCGATAGGGGTGAGCACGTAGGGGTGACAGTGTCAGGTCGAGGAGGCGGCCAGTGGTTTCCATGGAATCCAGTTTCGACGTAAGTCGTTATCGACTCGTGGCGATCACGCGTACGGAGTTTTCTGGCGCGCATAACAGTCGAAGCACTTCTTTTCCACAGACATCAGTTGGTGGGCATCGCGTTCTCACAGATGTGTTGAATGCCTTGAGTGATTTCTCGACTTGTACACATCGCTACCTAATACGGTTTGCGAAGATGGTCTAAAAATTCCATTCCGTCAGAAATAGAGCGGAAGCACTGAAAACTGGCGTTTTTCGGAATCACCGGCGTAATGACCTCGTGACGGCGTTTTGTTCGTGTCAGTCGTGTTCGTCATCGTCGAAGACTCTGTGAAAGCGGCAGGGATGAGCCGTCCGACCGGATCCCATAGGCTATGCGAATTGAAAAATGTGTGTGGGAGAGGGAGAGGGGAGTGGGGATGGGATGGGTTGGAGGAGAGGGAGGGGAAGCTCAAAACAACAATAATATACGGTCAAACGATCAATAAACTTTGTCTAAACCTCGGAGACCTAAGTTCTGGCTAGTCTTTACGAATAAAAGAAAATTTCCAAGTTGGGTGATCTTCTTTAAGAAAAACGTGAATATTGTGAGAAGCAATTGAGGACAAAATACAGTAACCTTGAAATAATTGTCAATTCATGTAGTTTATTTTTCTAAACCGACTTCAACAGCTGCGTGTAAGCTTAGCAATTAAGGGAGTACATTGATTATTCAAACAGTTTATTCTGCCTCCGCTTTTCTATCCAGTTCTTGACTTAAAAGGTAGTTCCGATGGCTTTCATGAAAGAAGGCCAATGTAAGAAACACAGCGGTTGGAAAGGTTAGAAAACAGTGCCGATCCCATCCCACTGTGACTCAGTAAAATGGATGAAGGATAAAGCATCCGGAGTTGGTTAATCTCTGGGTGATGCTATACATTCAATACCATTAACCACCGTTACAGGTGACTGAGTGCAAATCTGGCCTGTCCAGTGAATTGCAGTGGCCTCCCGATATATCGCGTCAATGCTGCACACTCACAAACAAGTTTGGAGCCAATTTTCCTAGACGTATGGAAGGCTAGGCGAGCACGTGGCGTGGGATCGAACCAGGAACCATGTGTGTATTGCAGAGCACCTTTAACCACTGCGCTACACGCGTTCCCTGTGATTCAGTAGCAAGGGAAAAAGTTTTTCGACATCATCGGGATTTCACAAAAAACTTTTGATTGCAGGTTTTCAAATGTGGGAATAAAAAAGAAAGTTAAGGTTTAGATGGATGTAGAACTGAACTAATGAATTTTCGATGATAATTGAAATAGACGGAAAGACAGCGCTTCGATACCTATTAGGTCTGCAGAGTAGAACTTCGGAGGGATGGTGGAGAGTTTCATTCCTTCAAACCGTCCCAGTGACAGGTTTCTTTGTTGAATTGCACGAGCGAGACGATGAGGGTGTGACGCAATCTGAGGCGAGGTCATTGATGTTATCGCATTTCAAGCGTTTTCGCCTTGTAATGTCCACGAATTTTCCCACAAAAGCCTCCTCAAAATTCCAGAAAATAATGTGTTCGAGTCAAAGAGTTCCTCGTTTCTGCTCCATCTCTATGGGTAGGATCAAGCAGACCGTTTAGAATAGCCCTTGGATGCTCATCGAAGTGGTTAGCACATCACGATTAATGGGCTCCCTTAGTTATGTACGAAACACTATGAAGACCAACCATTTGAAAAGGTTTACTAACATTTTATGGCTAGAACGCACAGAATCTAGTAGCAATTTAACATCGGGTTTAACTAACACACGAATACGATCATCTCTTTGTACAGAAGTTGAACGACAACGAAAAACAGACAAAGCACAGAGCTTGCCACATCTGAGAATGGGTCCAAGCACCTAAAAATTTGAGTAAGCTAGCGCAAAACCATAGGAAAGAATCAAGCTCACTAGGCGTTTTTTTCTTCTTGGATCTTTACTAATCCATATAGGTCCATTAGTTGAAACCCAGAATTACGTCTGCACTCGTTCCATCATAGATATAACATTTTTGTCCATTCAAATGCAGGAAATATTTCTCCAATAACTTAAAAGCCCAACTTTCTACAAACCTCGAGACTAATAACTATTGCTTGTAACTCCCAAGTCCGACTTTCTATTAACCTCGGCATTGATTGAATAATTCTTTCTACTTCTGTTCAGCAAACGCGAAGTGCTATTTTATTTCTTTATTTACGTACAAGCTGACGTTTCGGTGGATTTCACCTTCCTCAGAGCCTGGAAGAGTTAAGTTGACGGCAATCCATTCTGCCGAACACCTCCATAACCAAACAGAGAAAACGCTAAACCAAGATTTCAATCACATTTAGCATAGCTCTACACACTCACCGCTTTCTATTATTTGTAATTTTTCACTATTGTTTGTAATTTTTACGAACTTCCTTTGTTAAGCTGACATAAGAGTAGCATTTGTCGTTGTTTTCGTGAGTCGACGCCTGACGTTCTTTTTTCTTCTTCTTTCACCTTCTTCAGAACCTGGACCTATTTTATGGGACGATGTCCGTATAACCACAATGATGCTGAGGTATTCGCAAAGCTCTGACTCCAAGCCAAATTCGAACCAGCGTAGTTAGGGTGATTGCTGAATTTCACGGCTGATTGCACCCTTAGGGTGAAAAACTGGTTGACAGAAAGGGAGAACTAGGGTCTCGGTGGTTCGTTAGGCAACAGATGAGTACTCGGAAATGGTAGTCGCGAGTTTGAATCTAATTTGATGTCTGAGTTTTGCAAATATTTCAGCATCGTTGTGGTTGTATTTATCATAATACCCTGTAATGAAGAAATGACAGCAATAAGTAAGAAGTTATATTATCCATATAGCTTCACGAATTATCTGTAATTCTAGCGAAGTTTTATTTTATAAACGAAGGCCATTTTGTTCAAAAACTGCAGCACCGTGCTGTTGCGTGTGGAACCACCACCCATGTGTTCTTCACGTGGGTTGACGAGTGAGACCCGGCCAGATTCAAAGCCAATCTGAGAAAAGGTGCTACGTCACCCCTTTCCCCAATGTATTCTTCACCGCATGCCCTACGTGAGTTCAGGTATATTGCACCTCAACTCATAAAATCCCCATCTCTGCCGTTATCGCCGATCACACGAATTTCTGAGCTACATGAATACGGCTGGAGACGCTTGTGCACAAAATGACTGCGCATAGTGATAGGTGGGATGTCAATAACTGAGACAGAATTTTCAAGATCACTGCTTCTTAGCTGCCTCTTAATGTCGTAATTATTTCGTTTGATGTGAAGAGAAGCTTGAAAGGGGTCTTAAGTAAGTTTGAAACATTGCATTGTGGCATAGGCTCATTTTGTGATCTATCCCGAGTGGTTAATACTTCGTAGCCACTGGAAGTGGCTAATTTTTGGACCAAGTTTAACGACTCCTTTCTTTCCCTCTTGCCTTGTGCACACATGAGAGTAGAGGAAGGGCATTGTGCTTTTGCTACTTGGGTTTCAATAGCATTTTATGGCGTAGCCATTCTCTGACAGTTCATTTGAACGTTTAAAAATGGAAGCCAGCTCCCGGTTGGTTTTCTCGCGTTAATATTGTATGCTCTCACCGTCTATTTCACAATTCAAAAGATTTGCCTATTTCTTCTTGCGTGGAACAGACGATGAAGCAATAGTCTATGTATCGACAGTAAAGGTCGTTTGGCGATTGAGAACTGAAGCTTCCACCCTAGACATGAAAGCGCTGGCAAAGATTGGTGCTAATCGCTGTCCACTGGATAATGCTCTTATTTCTGCGAAGTTTCTCTCTGACAGCCTAAAGATTGAACAATTAAGGAACTGTTTAAGGCATCATTAGCTGTTGAATCGACAAGTCACACATATTTGTTTTCTTTTCAGGTTCTACGAGCAGTTCGAGATTGGCTTGCATTTCGGAGTCGCTCGGCACAGTATCATAAAGTGATGTAGCATCGAATGACTCCACTATATTAGCGTTGTTTGGTTACGCGCACCATAGATGATCCAGGAACACTTTAGTACTACGTAAATGAGCTGCTGCAAATTTTAGTAACTAGGTGAGAATGAGGTTTAGAAAACATGTTATTCTCTATCCGTTCGTCCGCCTACACAATTGCAGCTAGGTTTAATCTTAAATGATGTTGGATCGGTGGACGTAAAAAAATCAGTAGAAGTAAGCTTATATGTTTTAATAATTATAGGACAGGATAAGTTAGGTGGCCATTTTTGAGCTCAGAGGTTACAAAAAGATCTGCACCCACTGCCTTCGCCATATTGGGCCACTTCGCATTTAATCCACGCTATTAATTTCTATACTCCTTTTCAGCCGATGGCCGATAGATAGAAATATCATAGAGATACAACTAAGGTAACGCTGAGATATTGGTAAAACTCCGGACCGCATGTGTCTGCGGGGGGAAACGAACGCGCTATTGTCCTTTCCGGGGAGTAGCGAGTTCACTACCACACCATGCGGGTTCTTCGTTTCACCCGTCTCTCAGCTAGTTCTATTGATCGGCGCCATCAGCAATCACCCGTCAACGGGACTGATCTGGGGAGCCTAAATCGGCAACGAACCTGGTTAAGCTGAGGCTGAAGTCGAAATCACAATCTTAACCTTTTTATTTACTGCCTACTATAAATTTTAACGGCAGGGTAATTCGTAATTTGATAGTATCTGGAGAACATCATCCGAGAATAAACGAAAAATGGGGTGAATTTCGCTACGAGATTGCTCTTGCTTGAAGAAAGTTCGAGTAAAAGGGATGTTCCCAATAAGAGACCTACAATTTAAGGAACGTTGTAAAGAATCGTGTTTATAAATGAATGCTCCCAACATTTTTTAAAGTTCTGTGTCCATTTTGGGAAGCAGTTTAAATCAAGGACCTCGAAACAATTCTTATCATTAGCTGTTTACCAGTTAAGGGAAATGAAGTGGAAAGATTAGAAAGAAACCATTGATCGATATGCTTCATTATTAAAAGTTGAAAGCTTAGCCGATCATGAAGAGAAAAACAACTGTAGCATTTCATACAGTTGAGCAAATATCTGTTTTTGGTCCTGAAAT